TCCGCAACATTACTTGATTATTTATAGAAGATAACCTTCAAGATACCCAAAGTCTTCAGGATCCTCAGGAAACTCAGGACCTCACGGAACTCCAAGAACCTCAGGAGTCTCCACAAGAACTTCAAGAACAAGAGCGAGTCCTTCCGCCACGTACACAAGTTCGTAGGAAACGAAGGCTGATGGTGTTGGATGAAGTAACCGAGCTACCTAATCGACATATTAAAAGTCAAATAGACGATACATCAGATATTTGCATCGAGGTTAATAGAATTGAATTTGAATCTACCAGTAATCTGATTTTCTTATTAATAATAATCGACCATGTATTTCCTGTCATACAGTCATCGTATCTTCCCATTTCAAGAAAATTATTACGGTTGGCGGAAATCCGCCAAATGGGAGCTTGGTATTTTCTTGATTTAACCGCTCCACATAATATTCGGCCCGAGTTACGTTATCTCTTTGCTCGAAAACGTCAAAGAGTATCTAAAGATAACGATGCGCAACCAGGTCCATCAGGGACATCGTTAGACATTGATACAGATACATTCAACAATAATGATGACTCTATAGTAAGTATTTCTTTTGTTGTAAATAAACTTGTGGTAAATAAACTACAACAGACCCAATCCCTTTAATTTATTTCCTTTTATTGAATTTTATTAGCCTAATTATGTCCCAGAAGCACCTAACTTTGATAAAGGTTTGTTACGCTTTGGATTTCTTTCATGGAACTTATTAGTTATTTACGAAGTTTTTATTTTTTACAGAAACAACGCAAGATGTTGATGTCTCGGAGCAAACAAAAGAGAAAGATCTCACACAGGATAAAATCACAACGCCGTCAGAACATGAATTTGACAATCACTTTGATAACGTAATAGATTCGATATCTTAGTAGAAATTGTATTTTCGTCCCTTTACCTAAGCTAAACTTAAATTTGTTAAATTTATTATAGTTCGAAAATGATATCAGTACAAGTCCAACTGAAGGTTAACATTTTATTTCGTGATACCTCGTGAAATTTATTTTGATGATTTAATATTAATTATTGAAACCTTCTTTAGGCTTACCGAACATCCCAAATGTGACAACCATTTTTGACCAAGACGAGCCACAAGATCAACAAAATACCGGTAACTCATTTAGTAGAAATACGGTCAAGGCGATGCGACTTTTGAAGAGCAAATGCCTTAAACAAGATGATGCAACAAGTTCTACAAAACCAAAACAAACAATATTGAGCTTTGAAGGTGCTGTGGGAACGGTGAGATAGATTTTTTTAATTTAATCATTATTATATTATTTATAATCTTTAATATTCATTTACATATATATACATTTAGGCAAAGCGACAAGATGCAGTGAAATTATTTTTTGAATTATTGGTATTAAATACAAAAGATGTAATTCATGTACAACAAAAGCATGCATATGGAGATATTGCAATTGTATGCAAGGTAAGCTTCACGTTATGTATTATTTATGATATGACTTGACATATCAACTTATTTTTTAATAATTTATTTTTTTTCTTCTTTTTTTAGGAAAAATTATTTGACTTACTGGAAGATGCACAAACAAAATAAACGTTTCTTTATTATTAAATTTTTTAACGAATAGAAGTAAACTGTTTAGGGAAATCTTATTTTTAACAAAATATATATAAAATAGATCGATTATCTTTTTAAAAAATGTTTCTACTTGTAATTATTTCTTAAAAAATTCTTTTGGATTAAGTTTATTTATTTCAATTCTTTTATAATATTTAAGAAAAGAAAGACAGAAATAAACCTTTGATAGACATTTACTTTATATAATTCAAAATTAAAATGATTAAGGTACAGGTTGTAGAATAAAAGATTATTCATTTAATAATTCAACGATTTCTTTTTCCAAATCTTCAGGCTGTATTTGTAAAGTATCAGTTAGCAATCGTTGTACAACTTTAACAAGGAACTTTTTAATACTTACTTTTGTAAATGATGAATATCTAAGAACGACTTTTCCTTGTTTATTGATGATAAATTTTTCAAAGTTCCATTTAATTTGTTTAATACCTGCGATACCAGCTTTTTGATTTTTGAGATATTTATAAACTTCGTGAGCATTATCACCATTAACTTCAATTTTCGACATTAATGGAAATGTTACACCGAAATTTACTTGACAAACTTGTTGGACCTCTATAAAAAAAAAGAATTAAAAGTTAAACATTTTTCTGAAGGAAAATAATGAAATAAAATATTTGATACAAACCTTCATCAGTACCAGGTTCTTGATTACCAAATTGATTAGAAGGAAAACCCAATAATATTAAACCTTGGTCTTTGTACTTTTGATGCAAATTTTCTAAACCACTAAATTGAGGGGCAAAACTACATTTTGATGCAGTATTTACTATTAAAACGACTTTATCTTTAAAATCGGAAAAGTCGACAGGTCTCTTAGATTTATCATCGGCCTTTAATTCGTAAAATGATGTGGCAAGCATTTTTAATTAATATTATGATTATTATTACGAAAATTAATAATTATTTTTTTTAAAAAAAAAAAAAAAAAATTTGTGAAGATATTTTTGAAGGGAGGAAGAAAAATTGATTTATTTTATACAAAATATTAAATGATTATTGAACACAAAAAAAATGAGCTTAATTACATTAATCCGTTGATCTTGTTTAGAAATTAGAAAATGTATTGTTAACTTTAATTAGGTGTGAGCGAATGGCGTGCATAGAAATTACTTTGAAACGCCGAAATTTATTACAAATTTTTGAAAACCTTTTATATCACCTTATTTAATGAGTTTCTCAAAGTCATAATGATAATGGTTAATTTTTTTAATGTAGGATCAATGTAAAATCTAATTTTAGAAATGTTTTATTTGATAATAAAAAATGATCATTTCAAAAGCTTAATTCGTAAGAAATTAGAAAAATTTATTTTAAGAACATCGGACGAATCTTTCAAAGATTAGCAGATTGAATCCGTATAAAGTTACTGTGGAAATATAGTGACACAGTAACGTCAATACAATTTTCTTAATATAATAAACTGTATATATAATTATCGCTACAATTATTATATGTCTTTCATAAATAATATAATATTTCTAT